TTGAGTATTGGATATTTTTTCATGTGGGTTTTTTTTTTTTTATATCATGTAGTGAAAAGCGTTTCTGCTTCACTTATGTGTGGTGGAGATAAATTTGGGTTTTCGAAAACCACAACAAAAAAAAAGTATCTTTTTCCTTGTTCGTTTTTGTGGTTGATGATGTGTAATAATAGTGTACATGTACATAAGTTTTCTGTTTTCTTGAATCACATGTCATGTGCTTTACTTTCGACAACACAAGAACCCCCCAACGTTGCACAATGAACACATTACAATCCCAAACACCATAGATTTCACAAGATTAAACAAAGTAAATCCCAAACACGTGGCTTTTTTTTTTATGATTAGAAACAAAATTTTCATCCACTATTTGTCGTCGGAATCCTTTGGAAGTTGCAAGCCCATGAGCCCGAGCAAATTGGAAGCAGGACCAGGAAGTCCTTGTTGTGAAGAGTAGGACTCAAGTAGGTTCTTTACAAGGTTGAAATCAGCATCGATTGGTGTAAATTCCTCATCTAAACCCTTTGATGATTCCTGCAGATGCACATAGAACCCATTACAATCGGATTTCAAGCTCTTAAAGTCATGATAAAAATGGCTCCAAGATAGTTTAGTTACCTCGCTCTGCTTGGAAGAATGTTGCTCCACATGTTCAAAGCTTTTCTCAAGAGTCGAGTTCTTAAGTTCCTCATTCATTGCTCCAGAGTAGGATTCCATAAAGCTTTCCTTTGCATCCTCGTCAGACTCTTCTCCTTCGCTATCATCTTCAAAGTCATCTGCACACCGTAACATTTCAGTAAGTCACCCACACTCCACATCTTACGGAGAAGAGTCTAACAATTTAAGTTTAAAGTAAGGAGATACCGAAATCTACGTCCATAGAAGATCCTTCAGATCCATCGCTGTCATCATCAGCATGTTCACGATGTACTTGGCTCCCTAGCATTGACTCTATATCTTTCATGAACCGGTCGGCATCTATATTCACTTCTTTGAAATCCCTGCTGCAGAAGTCAAGCAACGAAAATACAATAGAATATCTTGAGAGCTTGAAATTTGACGAGAGATGTTCTTGAAAGATGATAAATGCTAACCTGTTTTCTGGCGCTTCTGCTCCTTCGTAGCTCGATACTTTGTTGATGAATTGCTGGATCGACTTTGAAATATCACCGAGATCAAAATTGTTCACGTTTGCATCAGATGAGCTCCCGGCT